CTTCCTTCCTTCCTTCCTTCCTTCCTTCCTTCCTTCCTTCCTTCCTTCCTTGTATTCCTTTCCTGGATAATCTGCCTGCTTCTCTTTCTTCTTCTTTCCAGTATCCGTGTTTCAAACCTGCTCAGTTTGGAAATGTCTCCAATAAAGTGATAAATATGTTAATATTTTACATTTGAAAATAAAAATGTTAAATTGAATAAACATAATAAGTGAAAACTGAACGTTTGAGTCAGAGAAACAGAAAGCAAACTTTGTTAAATGTGTTGCAGCTAAGAATGCATTATATCAAATTATTGAATTAGATCATTTAGAACTCTTAATTAAAGCAGTGAAATATTGAATCATATAAATAAAGATAGAATAACTGCCTTTGAAGGAGCCCTAATCTCTGTACTTTGATCATAAGCAGCCAAATAGAAATTAAATCATTTTTAGCTGATGTTAAACGACCTGTGAGGCTGTTGGACTGTTTCTCTCACGATGTTAAAGCAGCGTTCGCTGCATCTAGTGTTTAAATCAGCAGCATGTTTGAAATGTGGAGAAATGGGTCAGAAAGCCAAAATGGGACGTTACTGATAGATAATGGTCCAAAAGTGGTTCAACAGGAACAAAGCAAAGCACCTGTGATCTCAGCCACCAGATCTAAACCACACAGAATAAAACCAAACCAAAGAGATGTGGATCTAGAAAGATTTTGATCCCTTTAACGCTGCTGGTTTCATGCAATGCTGCAGTTTTTCCTTTGAGAACATGCTGCTGCATTTCAAATTAACTTTATGTAACGACTTTTAGCAGGAACAGCAGCAGCAGTGGGGAAAGCGGCATGTTTAAACACATGCATATAAATGCAAAACAAATGCATCTTTAACAGCACAAAAAGAAACCAAGAAATGGAAAACATTAAACCATAAAGGTTTCAAAAGTATAAAACATTTATCTTCTTAAAATGCTGTTTTTTAAAATAACTTTTGCAAGAATAGTGGAGATCTGAATCAGTATTAATCTAATATTAAGGTTTAAATGGGAGTAAAACGGAGAGAAGCTTCCATGATGAACCAGTGAGGTTAGAAAATGAGAGCAGAGCTGAGGTAACGTCCTCTGTGACGTTTGGCGGCGCCGTGTGCGACGGTGGTCTAACCGTTTCCCAGCTGACAGCTGAACCCGGTGACCTTTGACCCACTGTGTGTGAATCAGGTTTCACTGCTTTTACTCTGCAGGTCTGAGAAACTTCAGCCTCTCAGCCATCATGCAGAGCAGAGCTGTTTTACTCTTTCAGGTCGAACATCGCAGCCCAACTCCTCGCTTCTTTATCGCTCGGCATAAATAAACAACCATTTGTTTGGTCCGACTCAGACTTGTTGAAAGTAAACGAGTTTAAGTTAAGTCAATATTCCTCAGGCAGATTCATGCGACAGCAGCAAAGGAGTTTTAAGTAGTCTGTCCTTGAGAGGCCAAACGCCCTGCTGTGTAAACAGTCACATGACACATTACTCCATCATGACAGAAATACACGCCTGCTGTTTACGCTGGGTCACATGGGAGCTGCAGCCGGACGCCAGGAGGGAGGGAGGAGGGTTAGAAAATAAACTCTGAATGAAGTAAAAAAAAACAGCCGAGGAAACGGAAGATTTTACTAAAGTATTCGTCTCCTTCAACTTTTTAGCTTTTTGTCACATTTCTACTGCAAGCTTCAGAATAAAGCTGCCAGTGCAGTTTAATGTTCGACCAGCAGGGTGCAGAGTTTTCAGGGAAACGCAGAATGAGCTGAATGTTTCCAGCAACCTTTAGAAACGCAAACCTTCTCCTTCTGTTCTTCAGTTGTTTTGGGTCGAGGACGTTAATTCCCACAGATTTTTAAAGGGATTTATGTCCGAACTTTGGCTAGACCATTCTAACTCATGAAAATACTTTGATTAAAATGGTTTGAATGCACATTAAATAATGTGCATTAAGGTGCGGAAGGCAAACCTCCACCACAGTGTTCAGTCTTTTTTTTAGCCTCTAACAGTTTCCCCTCCAGGATCTCCTTCTGATTATTTTGACCAAATCTAAAACATGTATAACTATAAAAAGATGTTAAATCTCTTAAAAAAGAAACTCTGTGTTCCTCCATATCTGTGCTGTGAGTTAAATCAGGTTTTAGCTGCAGTCGGATTGTTGGAGGCTGTTTTGATGAAATAGTTTAATTTTCAGGTATAGATTTCCAGATGAAGACTTTAGTTGTGGATTCCACCGCCATCACTTTGCAGCTATGGGACACGGCGGGCCAGGAGAGGTCAGATTCCTCGCTTTAAGCTGCAGAATCTGTAACCAGTTCTAGTTTCTGGTTCTAGTTTGAATTCTGCAGGTTCTGCAGCATCACTGAACAATATTACCGGAAGGCGGACGGCATCCTGGCCGTGTACGACGTCACGCACGGCGCCTCCTTCCTGGCGCTGAGAGGATGGTTGGATTCTGTGAGGGTAAGTGGGCGGAGCTGCCGAATGCAAATCTGTCATTTGAATAGACGGCGAGCTTATTGAAGCGAATGAGAACCATAAACCTTTGTGGTTTTAAAATGATGTAAACCCCAAAAACTCATTAATACTTTTACACTTGAGCAGAAGGAGATTTTTTTCTAGTTGTTTGTTTTCTGCAGGATAAGATGTGTGAAGGGACTGTTCTGATGCTGCTGGGAAACAAGGTGGACTTAGCAGACGATGCCAACAGAGAAGTGATGCGAGCGGAAGGAGAGAGGCTGGCAGAGGTGAGCAGCGTTTGAATATTCAAAGAACTTTCTGCACTGATTCGCTCCAAGCTGCTGCCAATATGAAACCAACTTCATCCCAAAATCAGGATTAATCAAATGTTTGTTGTTTGTCTTTGTGCAGCATTACCAGGCTTTTTTTCATGAGTGCAGTGCCAAGACTGGATATAACATGGAGGAGCTGATGGTTCATCTGGCTGAGTATGACTCTTCCCATCCACCTGAGACGCTCTGACAAACTTCTGACATGTTCACCTTTTATGATGCAGCCATAGACGTCAATACCAGCGTTTAATACTACAGACTGGATGTAGAGAACAGACTGGATGCAGAGAACAGACTGGATGCAGAGAACAGACTGGATGTAGAGAACAGACTGGATGCAGAGAACAGTCTGGATGCAGAGAACAGACTGGATGTAGAGAACAGACTGGATGCAGAGAACAGACTGGATGTAGAGAACAGACTGGATGTAGAGAACAGACTGGATGTAG